CAAGCGTTTGTGTAGAGGCATTTGAGGCCTCCTGAAGATGTGTGCACTGGCCCCCTACTCTCAGTACTGCCCGGGCCCCAGTTGCTTACCTGGGTATTTGTTCTGCTCGTTGTCAGTCTAGGCTGGGCTGTTCTTGTGGGTGTCGCTTGGTTTAGTGGTCCAAGGCTTCCTCCGCCCTCATCTTCCCCTTCTCCCGACGAGCCTAGTTTAAAGCCTGCCGGAGGAGATTCACCAACCTAGAAGAGAACACATGCTTACCTTTGGGGAAAAGGTGAAGCCTATCCCACCTGAGCATGTCTCTTGTTGTGATGTGCGGGTCATTGTCTAGGAAGCCGAAGCCTGTCTTGAGACCATTTCTGAAGCCGCCAGTTCGTCTCTCTGATGCAGGTCTCATGTCGTCTTCCACGTCCGCTCACTGGTAGGACAGAGGAGAATACCACCTGTGCTCCTATCTCCCTCAGCACGTTCCCCAGAGCGTGGTAGTCCGTCATCAGGTGATCAGGGCTTCTCCTAGCCGCATCATTAGTACCCACATGGATTAGGACCATGGGGTAGTAATCGGTGGGCTGGATCATGGCCTGGATCATCCCCGTCACATCCTAAATCTTTGCTCCGGGCAGGCAGTAGCCCTCGCGTGTTGAGGGGTCCTGGCGACAGATGGGGCCCTCCATACCTCTCCAACTTATCCACATCCTTCCTGTAGAGGGGGGCCCAAAACTGGACACAGTACTTGAGATGTTACCTCACCAATGTCAAATATAGGGGAATAATCACTTCCCTCGATCTGCTGGCAACAATCCTACTAATGCAGTCTAGTATACTGTTAGCCTCCTTGGCAACAAGGGCATACTGTTGAGTCATATCTAGCTTATTGTCCACTGTATCCTCCAAGTCCTTTTCTGCAGAGCTGCTACTTAACCAGTTGGTCCCAAACTTATAGTGGTACAGGGGATTCTTCTGTCCTAAGTGCAGGACTTTGCACTTGTCCTTGTTGAACCCCATGAGATTTCTTTTGGCCCAATCCTCCAATTTATCAAGGTCACTTTGAATCCTAACCCTACCCTCCAGCGTATCTACTACTCCCGCCAGCTTGGTGTCATCCACGAATTTGCTGAGGGTGCATTCCATCCTATCTTTCAGATCGTTAATGAAGATACTGAACAAAACTGGCCCCAGGACCACCTCTGGGGCACTTCATTTGATACTGGCTGCCAAATAGACCTTGAGCCATTGGTCAGTACCCATTGAGTCTGACGATCCAGCCAGTTTTCTATCTACCTTATAGTTTATTCATCTAGACCATGCTTCCTTAGCTTGCTTTCAAGAAAGCTGTGGGAGGCCATATCAAAAGCCTTGCTAAAATCAAGGTATATTGTGTCCACTGCTTTCCCCACATCCACAGAGCCAGTTGTCTCATCATAGACAGCAATCAGCCTGGTAAGGCATAACTTGCCCTTGGTGAATCCATGCTGACTCTTCCTAATCAGTTTCTTCTCCTCAAATTGGTTAGAAATGGATTCCTTGAGGACCTGCTGCATGATTTTTCCAGGGACTGAGGTGAGGCTGACTGGTCTGTAGTTCTCTGGATCCTCCTTGTTCCGTTTCTTAAAGATGGACACTGTATATTTGCCCTTTTCCAATTGTCTGGGACCTCCCCTGATCACCACAAGTTTTCAAAGATAATGACCAGCAGCTCTGCAATCACATCAGCCAGCTCCCTCAGCACCCTTGGATGCATTGCATCCAGCCCCATGGACTTGTACATGTCCAGCTTTTCTAAATAGTCCCTAACCTGTTCTTTCACCACAGTTGGCTGCTCCCCTCCTCCCCAAACTGTGCTCCCCAGTGCAGTAGACTGGAGGCTGACCTTGCCTGTGAAGACCAAGGTAATAAAGGCATTGAATCCTTCAGCCTTTTCCTCATGATCTGTCACTAGTTTGCCTCCTGCATTCAGTATGGCAACTGCACTTTCCCTGACCTTCCTCTTGTTGCTGACATACTTGTAGAAACCTTTTGTTACCCTTTACATCCCTTGCTAGCTGCAACTACAATTATGCTTTGGCCTTCCTGATTTCATCCCTACATGCTCAAGCAATATTCTTATACTCCTATCTAGTCATCTGTCCAACTGTCCACTTCTTGTAAGCTTCCTTTTTGTGTTTGAGTTCACTGAAGAGTTCTTTGCTAAGCCCAGCTGCCCAATATTTGCTCTTCTTCCAGCACATCACAATGTAGTTCATATGCCCTAAGTAAGGTTTCTTTAAAATACAATCAGCTCCCCTGGACTCCTCTCCCCCTCAGACTGGCATCCCAGGGGATCCTGCCCATCAGTTTCCTGAAAGTCAAAGTCTGCTTTTCTGAAGTCCAGGGTCTATACTCTGCTGCTCTCCTTCTTTCCGTCCTTCCTTTTGTCAGGATTCTGAATTTGGATCATCTCATGGTTACTGCTGCCCAAATTGTCATCCACTCCTACATCCCCCACCAATTCTTCCTTGTTTTTAGCAGCAGGTCAAGAAGAGCACAGCCCCTAGATGGCCTCTTCAACACTTACACCAGGAAGTTGTCCCCAACGCTCTCTAAAAACTTCCTGGATTGTCCGAGCACTGCTGTTTTGCCCTCCTGGCAGGTGTCAGGGTGATTGAAGCCCCACATAAGAACCAAGGCCTGGACACTTCCATTAGTTATCTGAAGAAAGCCTCATCCACCTCATCCTCCTGGTCTGGTGATCTATAGCAGACCTCCACCACGACATCACCCTTGTTGCTCTCTCCTCTAACCTTAACCCAGAGACTTTCAACAGGCCTGTCTCCAGTTTCATACTGGAGCTCTGAGCAATCATACAGCTGTTTTACATACAGCGCAACTTCTCCTTTTCTCCTCTGCCTGTCCTTTCTGAACCGTTTGTATCCATCTGTGACAGTTCTCCAGTCATGCGAGCTCCTACCAAGCCTCTGTTATTCCAATCATGTCATAGTTCCTTGACTGTGCAATTACTTCCAATTCTTCCTGCTTAATGCTGTTTGATTTGGAAGAATAATCTGAAAATCAGAAGCGTGCTCTATAAACAGACCCCTTCTGTCTAATTTTTCCATCCAGCTTACAGTGTATTCATCTTCCATAGGTGAGGTGGCTGCAGTCAGCAATGGGAAAATCAATCAGTCCCAGTCCACAGAAGAGGCAACAGAAGCTACAGAAGTACCAGAGAATGGTGCAAGTGAAACAGAATCAGCCCAAGTCCGGCCTGGTCCACTTACAGAACATGTTTTTACAGATCCAGCTCCAACTCAGGCACCTGGGAGGCAGAACAGGTAGGCTGTTGTGCTAGTACAGTTGTTCATCAGCATTGATGAGAACAAATGAATGAGTCCAGCCTGTTTTTTGAGGGGAAAGTCAAACTCTTACCACCTTCACACCAACACTGTATAAAGAGATGGGCTGGTAGGGTAGGGGGGCAGGACTCAAATAAAACAAACATGGTTCTTCCAGTAGCAGACTGTGTTTCAGGCTGTTGCAGAGCAAATATTTGATCTAATGAGGAATAAGACCTGCTGTCAAGAGGAATACCCCCAGAGAATACATGCACTTAAAGTTTTATCTGAGGATCTTATGGACTCTTATATGTGGTGATGAGTGGTCATTCTGGTAATACCTATAACAAGAAGGATGCTATACAAATATCAGAGAAGGCATGGAGTCTGTCAGAGGTCTTATAGAGCAGCGGTTCTCAACCCTTTTTGTAAGAGGACCCATTTGTAAACTTTGGCCAGTCCCAACCCAGTGCCCCTCATTCCTGACCTGCTATCCCCCACCCCCAGGCTCCAGCCCCACAGTGTGTGGGTCATGGGGGGCCCCAAGTAGCCCCTTCCAGGCTGGAACTCTGCCAGCCTGCAAAGGAAAAGCCATGGTTTCCCATGTTTTTCTCTAAAGGAGAATCCATTCTTAAAGTTTGTTTGTGAACCTTCCATATATTCTTGTGACTCACTTTTGGGTTGCGACCCACGGTTTGAGAAACATTGTTTTAGAGCAATCGAAGCCATCATAGTGAGCGTGTAAACAAAGAACATGCCCTGTGGCCAGATGATGGAATAGCTGAAGAGGCAAAGCAAAAAGCTTTTCTTTAGTCCATATTTTTAAAGCATATGAACACAAAAAATCCTCAGTAACTTTGAAGGAAGGGTGTTCCCACACAACAAGATTAAAACTTTAAAGATAAAGATAATTTAAAAATGTAGGAATCAAACAATTGTAGACCAGTTGATAAATAAAGGTACTTTAAGGCAGAGACTGCATCTGCCTCTGTGCTGCTATTAGATAACTACTGATAAGGGAGCCCTCTATAGAGGATATCAATCCGTGTACATGAGACCTGAGATCTGCCCTCTGATGAGATTTGAGATTGTGAGGGTTGATTTTGTCCTTGCAGTGAGAACGGGCACCAGAAGTCAGAGTCCAGCACAACGCTACCAGAGCAGGAAGCAAACGGTGATGCTTCTGGAACCTGTACCAGTGCTGCACCCACCATGTGGCTTGGAGCACAGAATGGCTGGTAGGTTTGTCTTGAGCCAACAGAACCTTCTTTGTTACCTGCTGTCCCAAACAGGTAGCCTCCAGGTCCCAATACTTTAATGTTTATAGACTGTCTTCACTGTGTACCCCTGAAATGCTGGTTAATTTTGAGCCCTGGGTTTGTTATAGTTGGAGCAATTCAGCCAACCATGCTTTGCAAATTGCTTTTATGTCACAATGAAAGACTCGCACATGACCTTGCAGTGCAGTTTTTGTCTGCCTGACAACCTTCCTGCTAACCAGACCTGCTTTCTCCTTCCCACAGGCTATATGTGCACTCAGCAGTCTCCAACTGGAAGAAGTGCCTGCACTCAATAAAGCTGAAGGACTCTGTGCTGAGCCTGGTGTAAGTTTCCGTCCTGAGTCACAGGCATGAACCCAGGAGACTCATCACATGATTGATCTTTCTTTGTTGTTGATGGGGGGTTGCTTGCCAGCCCATCTTTTTCCTTGTCTTAGTAAGTGCACTGGTCTGTGGGGAAGATTTCTGAAACAACTTCCTGCTCCTTGATTCATTTAGAAAGACTCATAATGAGCTGCTTTCTTTTCTAGTTGCAGGCTTGGCAGCATCTGATCGCTAGTGTACTGGATAAAAGTAAATTGGGGAGAGGGGAGAGGAGAAACAACGGAATTGTCTTCTCATATTAGTGTAAATCAAGTGGAACTCTCCTGAGATCAGTGGAGTTATTCAGTGTTAAACCAGTGGAAAGGAGAGGTG